CGGAGTAAGGGTAGTCCATGATAATGCAGCTATGAATAATGCATAGAAGTCTGGAAAATGATCACCGAAGAAAGAGGACTGGAATGAGAATGCAGTTGGGGGGGGGGGGGGAAAAGGGGTGGGGCGGGCGGTGGAAATGAAGATGTGTGTCTCATGGTTGCAGGAAACGAGCGTCGGAGGTCCGAAGCAGGCAGGGAACGAGAGAGAAAGAGAGAGGCTGAGAGCAAGTGTGAGCAAGTGTGAGCACTGAGCACTGAGCACTGAGCTTGGATGGAGAGAGAAATTGGATGGAACTTGGAGAACTGGAAAGAGTGAGTGAGTGCCAGAAAAGGCAAGCCAGTCACACGGACCACCTTTTCTTATCCTCTCCAGTCTCCATTCAATGGAATCCACTCTTTCCATCCTTTTCCTCCACGCCTTGGAGGCAAAAAAAAAGTCAAACAAGAAAAAAGTAAAAAGATAAGCCCAGCTCGGCTTTCTTTTACAGTACAACTACCACGAAGACCACCTCTACCACCACACCACCACACCATCTTCTTCATATTCTCTTGTTCTCTTGTTCTTATTGACCTCACATCAATAGAACAGAACCCAGTCAGTTCCCTTATCTTCCAAGGTTTCTCCTCCGCCGATGATTGTCCGGCTGTCGCGTCGCTCTACCATCATCACCACCACTACTGCGGGTTGACACAGCTGCTCTTTGTTTAACCCTCACTACTTTCTTGCTACTAGTACTGCAAAACAATCTCCACCCCTCCACTTTTCACCACAACTCCTGTACTGTACTTCCCCTGGCTTGACTCGCGCTCTCCTCCTCTTCTTCTTCTCTCCTTCTTATTCTCCTCCCACCTCCTCCTCCTCCTCCTCTCCCGCCCGACCGTGGCTTTGTCCCGTTTTATTCTTTCATCCTTCTACCGACCGGGTTCTCCTCACTTGCGAATTAATCCTTCCGCTCCCGCCTTATCCACTTTCCAGGCCTGACATGGTTCACTCAACGAGCGAAGAACGTGCCGTACATTTGACTCGAGAGGCTGTTGAATTGATAGATGCTGGTCACCGTGAGGTATGTCTGACTTACACGATTCTCTTTCGTACTTCGTCTATCTGAGAGTCTACCGTGTCGTCGCGTTAGTTTGCGACCGCTTCAGGTGGCTAATGTCATCTATCGCAGGCCGCTTCGCGGAACCTTCGAGAAGCCCTCACCTTAGCGCCCGAACATCCAGCTGTCAAGGAAGCTTTCCTGAAGATCCAAGAGGAGGAGGAAAATGGCCATCACCTCCTAGATCTCTGCCGCCGGTATACTTCAGGGAAGGACGAACCCGCGGGTAAAGATGCCGCCCTCTATCTGCGCACCGACGGCCTCAAACCGCCCGAGGAGGTCGCACTGGATTGTGTCAAATTTATCTTGGCGCAACGCCCACATGCCTTGTCCTCGCTGCAGGACGACATTATCTCCGGTCTGGTTCGCCAGAGTACAAGCGTGCGCCAGCACTTCTCCAACCAGCTTCAAATCTCCGTCACCACCTTCTTTGACGAGATCTACGAAAGGGGCGACGCAGCTGCTGTTTGCCTCGACACCGTTGTTCTAGACCCCTCCGTTTGGCTATCGCAGGATGCTCGTCTGCATTGTGAACGTGAGCTCTTCCAGCTATTCATTGCCAAGCTGATGGAGTCTGGTCATGATGAGGACGGCCGCTCGCTCAAAGGTATTGCGCGGCTGCTCGCCGTTGACGCGGCCAGGTTGCAGGATCTGGTGGATGATGAGAGTCTGGATGTGATTTTGTCGTCCCTGGATTCTCGCCTACCCCTTGAATGGAGAAGCCAGGCTACTTTGGCAACAGTCAAGTACCTCGAGGTCTCGAAAGAAGTTGGCCAGAATCGATTCTCCAACCTGGTCTCTTCCAAGGTGATTAAGGGCCGCAGTGATGGGCTGATTGAGGCCTTCTCTGCAACTGCTGCCGTCTTTCCTGTGATTCCGGAGGCTGCCGCAGCTCTTTTTCTTTCGGAGAGTTTTCTGGCTGCATTGGCTCCTCTGACTTCCAGAGATGCGAAGAGCCGGAAAGTCGAAACATCGTTCTTGGAACTTCTAAATGCAGCCTGCGTCAACAAAGACTGTCGTGAGGCGATCTTCAAACATCTGTCTACCTGGCTCTCTCATCTTCTTACCAATGGCAGTGACCAAAGCTCTGAGTTGGCAGCGGTTATCCTGGCCAAGGTTCGGACTGCCGCGCAGGTCGCGCCCTCCGAAACCATTGGTAAACTCCAGGACGAGGACACCCGGGTTATCGAGCTGGTTGATCGGTTCAAAGACTCGATGTCGAAGCGCAAGGGTGAGAGCATGGCTAATGTGATTGAGGGTCTGGCCTATGCCTCTGTCAAACCCGCCGTGAAGGAACAGCTTGCCAAGGATCCAGTCTTTGTGCAGAACCTCATTAGAGTGTTACACGAAAACTCTACTGTTCCGTCAGTCCTCTATGGTGGCTTCATGATCATCATGAACCTCACTCAGTTTCTTCCCAACCTGACGGAGGAACAAAAGAAAGTCTCACAGCTCAAGTCATACGCTGAAGCATCGCCCAAGGCCCGCAACGGCCCCGATCCCTTGGACGAAGAGCAACACGTCATTGCTCGTTGCACCGCACTTGTCGAAGCAGGAATTGTTCCCCTTCTGGTCGACTGTGTCAAGACCAGCCTGCCTTCTGTACAAGTTCTCATGAGCAAGATTCTTCTCTCTCTCTCGCGTGATCGCAAGTCTCGCGGTGCTCTAGCACAGCAGGGAGCCGTCAAGCTATTGATTGGTATGTCGACCGTGAAGCAGGGCTCGTCGCCAACTGAGATAGTCAGCAATGCTTCACATGCGCTGGCGCGAATCTTGATCTCTGTCAATCCTGCGCTTGTTTTCCCGAGCTCTGGCTTCCCCCAGATCACATCTGCGATTCGACCTTTGACTGCACTGCTTTCCGTTCCAGAGACAACCAGCCTTTCCACAGAGCAGCCGCGGGACTTGCTTCCTGTCTTTGAGAGCTTGTTGGCTCTGACGAATTTGGCCTCACACCCTGATGAGTCCGCTCCTGAAGCCATTGTTCGCCAAGCCTGGCCTGTTATCGAGGAACTCCTTCTTTCCAATAGTCCCTTGGTACAGCGTGCTGCATGTGAGCTTGTCTGTAACTTGATGACTTGCGAATCAGGCGTAGTCAAGTTTGCCGATGGTTCGAAACGTGCTGCCCAGCGTCTGCATATCCTCTTGGCCCTTACCGATACTGACGACCTCGCCACACAAAGTGCTGCGGGTGGAGCTCTCGCCATGCTCACTGAGTTTGATGCAGCGATGGCAGGAGTTCTCGAACGGCCTCGTGGTGTTCAGTTGCTGCTTGGTCTGTGCCAGGAAGAAGACGACGGGCTTGTACATCGCGGTGTTGCCTGTATCAGGAATATGACCTGTCTTGCCACCGGTGATGTTGCTCGTCGGGCCAAAGATGCCATCAAGCAGAATGGGGGCATCGACATCTTGACAAATCTGCTGAAGAAGACCAAGAATCCCGCTATCCTCCAAGTAGGTGTCGAGGCCCTCAAGCCTTTGGTGTCATAGGCATCTTGTCTTCATAACGAGCTTTCACGTTTCCATAGTTATTCTCGGTGTTTCATACCTATTTTGCTCGATAAAGCGTTGTGAGTTTGCGGTATTACAGCTCGCGTCAAGGGTTCGGTGTTCGGTCCGGTTGTTTGTGGTTTTTAACGGCGTTCATCAGCCTGTCTGACTTTTGGTGTTATGATGTGTTGCTCAAGTTTAACGAATGTTGCTGGTCTTATGAGCGTGGGGAACGGTGGCTGGATTTTCTCAATGCGTCAGGGGATTCCGGAGTGCATTTGTCCCTTTTTGAGTCCGCCATAGACCAGAATGATGTGCTCTTTTGTGTCGAATCAAGACGACCTTGATAGCTATTTATTGAATGATTCTCTCGTTGAGAAATGCTTCCATCCAATTAGTGTAATCATGACCTTCCAGTGAATGGCAAGGGAGTTGAACAGTTGATGCGGAGTAACCCAAGTAAAATGCGGGGTGACGAGATTTGAGTGGGGGTAAAAGTGGAGAGAGACAGAAGGGAGAGGAGATTGGGAAAACCACCCGCGAAGCGGAATCTGTATAGCAAAATCTGGTGATTTTAGGAGTCAAGCCTTTTTCAAAGACGATCAAGGCAGTTAATTGCTGAGGGTGTATGCACCTCTTTCGGTGAGAATTGAGTAGGCTCTTGCTTGACTTCCAGTTGAGCTTTCTCCTCGACTGCCCCAATGCCCCTGTCGATTGATATATCGGTAAGGTAGGGGTGACTTATCCAGGAATCAGTCTGCGATATAGTCGACCCGGAGGAGAGCCCTCATTTTTGACGGGAAGTAGAGTCATTCAGAGAATCGAAGGTAAATAAAAGAGGAAGAAAAAACAAGGAAAAACCAGAATCAAGAAAGGGGGAGAGGGCGCGAGGGCGCGAGGGCGAGGTTTTGAGGGAAATAAAAGCGTGCTCTTGGTGGTGGTGGTGGTGGTCGAAAAATCGCGCATGCAAACATACTAGGTAGGTAAACACACTTAACTTACCGGTCAGTTCAACACACCCTGCCGGGCCCCCGGCCGGCCGGCCCGCTGGCTGGCCGGCTGGGCTGGGCTGCCTTGGGGATACTTATGACGCAGTTTGTGTAATTCTGCAGGTTTTGCGTATCTTTTGATTTATTCCCCCTGGTTTGGAGGTGTTAGAATTATTATTTGTAGGTTATCTGAGTGGTTGGGTTTTAGGGGTTGTTTACTTTTGGGGAGAGGTGGGTGTATGCGGTAGAGGGAGGGTTCAAGGGTTTGTGGTGAATGGTTACTGGTGAAAACTGAGATTTTAAGGGGGCAGGTGTAGATGGATTTTCATGATGGGATCTAATGAGGTGCTTTGCTTTAGTTATCGATGTTCATTTTAGCTTTAGCCAAATTCTGGGTTTGGAGGATCGTTGGGAGTCAATTGTGCATTTTCTGACTAAACTACCTTGTTGCTGACTAGACTCAAATTCGGCCTTGGAATCTTCCTTCGGCTTCTTGCTGATGGATAGGGCAATTTGACATGTATGTCAGGTGTGCTTGCCATATTCTGGGGAAGTTTGTCTTGAACATTGCGCTTGCATGGGATGTCTTTGAGCGAGAGTGATGGACTTGATTGTCGGGGATGCACTAAGATGACAGGATGTATAAGGAATGATCCATGGAAATTGTCTGGTGATATGGTTCGAGGTTGTGGATTGTGGACGGGCAGCGTTCAAGGTGTAGTTGCGTTGCGGCGCTCGGAACTACCAGTCGCTGGCGCCTTCGACGGTGTTGTCACGCTTCCAATCGCTGGCTCCATCAACGGTGTTGTCACGCTTCCAGTCGCTGGCTCCATCAACGGTGTTGTCACTGCGCCTCCAGTCACTGGCGCCTTCAATAGTATTGTCACGCTTCCAGTCACTCGCTCCGTCGACAGTAACGTCACGCTTCCAATCGCTGGCGCCTTCAACGGTGTTGTCACTGCGCTTCCAGTCACTGGCACCTTCAACGGTGTTGTCACCGCGCTTCCAGTCACTCGCTCCATTGACGGTGTTGTCACCGCGCTTCCAGTCGCTGGCGCCGTGGGTTGTAGAGACCAAAGCAACATCGGGTGTTGGGAGGGTCAGAACACCAGTCACCAGGCAAGCGGCCAAGCTCAGGGTCATGAATTGCTTCATCTTGTTGTGTGTGATGTAAACAGAAAAGAGGAAGTATAGCAGCAAAGTGTGAAAAGCGAAGTTGAGAAAGAGATGGATGTCCAATGCTGGATGAGCTCTGTAGATTGATGTTTCTTATGAGAGGAAACAAGCCTCTTTATATAATAAGAGAGGGCAAGTCTGCCTAGCAGGTGAGAGTTATAGACCAGACCAGTTGCGCGGTGGGTTCACACTATCCTGACCTGAGCAAGCCCCGGGTGAATGTGGTAGTGCTGACTCGCAACAATAATGGGTTCATCAACAAAACTTTGCCATGAGTCTCGTATTCAGGACGGCGTCATTTCCGAGTAGCCGCCATTGTGGACGAGGCTGACTGCAGACGGTTGCAGTAAAGATGCATTTAACCTATTTCAATGTTATCACTGTGTAAAAAATGACATAGAACAGATTTTACCATCTTCCTTATTTGGAGATATCTCTTCATACGCTACTGCACCGGACGTCGAAGTGGCTGATGTTGGTGTACTAGGTAGACTCCTGGGAAGCAGAACGTGATGCCCGCAGAGTTAGTGGGTTGAGTGAGTAGATGAGGCTATGAAGGCGGTCAACTTGGAACTTAAGGAGGCTCTCTACCCCGCATGCTACGAGTTGTGGGGCCCTTAGAGAGCCATTGGAAGAAGGGATTTGTCGCTGTTATACCTAGAACTACCCGAAAGGCTGATTAACCTTTGGAACCTACACGGAACCCTCATCCCCTTGACTTGATCCAAAAGGCATGGAGAGACAGGTCTAATGATTCCGCCATACTGACATTGCTGAAGAATCAACAACTTTTTATCGCCTAAGCTCATTCCTTCCCTGCATAGAGATAAACTTGGCAAATGTAAGCACGGAAAGTGAGTTACATCAGCAACGGGCGATGCTCACCAATGCTGACTCGTGCAAGGCTTCATAGCTCCAACATGTCACCACAAGCACTACCTCATCAATTAAGGAGAATCAGGCTGAATCTTTAGCTTGATTTGCCACAGCCATCAAGTGACTCTGGCGCGCCATCGAGCCTCATCGACGCGGCAAGAACGACAGTGACATACTGCGATGTGTACCACGATCCACAGCTCCACAACCAGACATTATTTGTCAGGCATCATAATCACGAATCCACTTGATTGAAGCTATACAAACACAGGGCGGAATCAGTACCGCTACCCACACTCTCTTGAGCCCATTTTCTCGTGTATGCACATAAGACGGCAAAGGGGCGCTTTGCAGACGACATGATAGAGGGCTTGCTCCACCCTCCAGAGCTGATCTATACCACGGAACATACCCGAGGGTGCAATTGCTCGCAACAGAGGATGGATCTGCCTATTCGCATGGCTCGACTCGTATCTGCTCTTGGGTTGTATCCTCAACATCCGCAAAGCCTCGTCATCCGAACATCGCGAAGCTTCATGCTTCTACTTCGTCTCCGGCCAGAGGAATCAAGTGCACAATTTGAGGACGATAAGACTACTGCTATGCAATCTCAGACATACTGTGTCTTCTCGCTGCTTTGAATCACATTCTCGGGGCCTACTATACTTGAAGTTCCGGCCAGACATCATGAATGGGTCTAAAATCCGGTCGCTGGGTGCCCCAGCCTCGCGACCCGGGCTACAATGGCTGCAGGTATTGGCAGGGTGACATCGTGCAATCTCCCCTGGACCTCCAGTCATCTCCACCTGTGATATACTCATCTCCGCGGGATTTCCAGCTGAGGTATCGTTATCCAAGATGACTATATCCACGATACAGTTGCGCCATTCCTTAACAAGAAGTCGTGTACTTCTTGCATTGATAAAATGATCATTTCCTCTGGTGAGATCCTTAGTGAATACGAGACTCTAGAGGTGCATATGACCTCGACCTGTGTTTAGGCTAGTCATTGAAAGGTTTCATCTGTGTATGCCAGGGCATGCATAGATGGGGCCAGCCCGCACGTTTCAAACCGCATACCCACGCTGTTCACAAGCTTCAACCCATAGCCGTCGGGTAAATACCGCAATCGACTCATTCAACTCATAAGGGCCCAACTGTCGCCCAGTTACCCCTCTCTTTGAAGCAATTATCCTCGAGTGATATTCAGCTGAATGGCCGAAGTCACTGATTGGAGGGACTTTCTGCCGTAGTGACAGTGATCATGCACCTGAATCGCAAAATCCAAGCCACCTGCGAAGGGCGAAATGTCGTTATCAAGACTTCGTCAAACGGAAGAAGGCTGATGGTCCGGGCTATTTTGTTGATTTGTGGCCTCGTTCCCACGAAACAGTGGAGGAACCTCGTATTGCTAGTGATCATCTCTGAACGCGGTAGCCAGAGCCAGTCCTTGGTTGCCACCACGGCACCATTGGATGGAGATATGTAGAGCGACTATTAGCCGTGGGATGTGAGGAATGGAGGCAGCGAGCATCGTTCGGGTGGGACGCGAGATGATAGCCTACACGCTAGGCGGTATTCAACTACTGATGGAGTACTTGATGTTGATTGTGCATAGTCATACAGTGCCTGATCAAGACGCTGCACCTCCTATCCTTCAAAAGTTCGTCCTATTCGCTAACTAGGACTCACCACACCTGAAGTCTGCCAGTGGACACGCTGTTGAGTGTCCTTGGCTATACAGATTCGTACCGGAGAGTTTTCGGCAAGGTAATGCATGGCTCTGACGTTCCTTTATCGAATCCGGGGGTTGCATTTTGTAGACCTCCCGCTGTACTAAGGCCCATAAAAAGCGGGCGTCTACGTCCAAAATGCCCAGCAGTACTGGTTGTTGCACTCAGAACCAGAATGCAGACTCGCTATCACTTGGACAAAAAAGTGCAGCAGACCATGGGCATTCGAGTTCGATATTGAAGTATGGAATTCCAGTTACTATAGTCTTCTTGAGTCAAAGCTAGCTCTAGTATACAGCCACACGGCGAGATTTATGGCAAAATGAGATGTTACAAAGTAGCCAGAGCGATCAGCCTCCTCTCCTCCGAAGACCTCGAAGAGAGCAGCGACTTGATGTTCTTATCATAGTCGTTCACAAAAGCGATTAGGAATCGAGACAATCATATAAAGCCTCCATGTTCTTGCTTCAATAGTCCGGATTGTAGAAGGAAGCCGCGTGATCGAATAGAGCACTATAAATTATTGACCTTGAGGTCAGGCGACCAGGATGTATCAGCTCCTTTCTAAGATAGTGCAGTGTACTTCGGTAGCAAGGCCATTGTCAAACTTCCAAGGAGAAACAAAGGTGCAGCGAATACCAAGAAGTGTAGTCAAGTTTGAAGTGAGGAATGTCTACTTTGCAGCATAGTGTATCACTAGTGTGTGCAGGAGCAGGTCACGTTAGAGTCGAGTACAGTAATCCTGCAGCTTGGAGGGAGGTCATCTGACTTGACGGGAGTTTTCCATCTTAACAATAACTCCCGAAATGCAACTCCTTCTTACTTAGTATGTCGAAGTTACTCAGGTCATAACCTCAGGGAGATTGCAACCCTTCTTTATTGGAACCATGCAATCACAGGCTCAAGGCTAAAATAGTTATTCGAACCCTTCGAGGTTCGAATGGACAATGTTCGGCCACGACTCGCCCTCCCCCCTCCCTCCGACGCATCTGGCCACAAATCAGAATGAGGTGACAGTGAGGGGAACGGTGATCATCGCTGCGAGGGAATATCCCGCCAGAAAGAACTTCTGCTTCTCGAATCCGCCAGCCTCCGCGGCCTAGATAGCAGCGGGTCACCGGACTCAGTCGCCCACCAACGGGCTAAGCACTATGGCCGATTCAGTGACAGTCAAACAGTCTAGAAGGCTTAATTTGCGAATTGGTGGGGGAGCAAGTCAGCACTATTGGCAGACTAGCAGCTGGTGTGAGACTTAGATTAAGAACCGGAGAATGGCCCCCTTAATCGAATACTCACTCACAAGTCTCAATTGAGTCAGTGAACCGGCCTGATCAACATAAGGTTACCGCCATTTGACCTGTTTTCCACACAGATCCAAGAGCGGAACCATCTGCTAAGAATCAGATTCCTCACAGACATCTTACTCATAGACACTGGGCTGAACCAGTTTTCTGCGGAGGAGATTGCGGGCAAATCAGGGAGCGTCCGGCGTGCAGCAGATCCAGCCGCCCGCGTTCAATGGTCATTCCGCCCCGAAATTCTTCTTCATCTTACGTCGGGGTGGATTCCTTTCATCCCCACTCGGGTTAGCAACTGATATTTTTGTCGGTTCCCTTCGATCATATGTCTTGGCCGACTCTCGCACGTGCTGATAGCTCGGTCCCTTTCCTTTGTCGCCTGGTCCCAAGGATTCCAAACTGTATATGACCCGTGGCTCTCGCCTTCTTTTCTTCAATTATCAAACGCATCCATCTCTCTCTCTCTCTCTCACTATCCAACCATCCAGGTTCTTCCCACTACCCCATCTGGCTTGACCATGACTCCGCGATAAACTAACACATGGCTCTGTGCTCGAAGTTTGACTTGTCATTTTTCTTTTGTCTGCCCCAGATCCACTTGTTCTCCATTTGATCATCATTTCGTCAGCTGTGCTCTTCCTTGGCCGAACAAACCCCTAGACGAGTTCTAAAAGAGCTTGTATTTCACCTTCTGTCCTCATCTCGAACATCTTCGATTGGCCTCGACTCAAATTCTCTCGAAAATGAAATTTGGACGCAATTTGCCCCGCAATGTTGTTCCGGAATGGAGCGCGAACTACATTCATTACAAGGACTTGAAACGGCTCATCAAAGCCTCGGCGGAAAACGTAAAGGCTGGCCATGAGGCCGATCTTACAGGTAAGCTTCGACCCTATCTCTACTCACTCAGGCCGTTGAGCGCTTGTTTTGACTCGAACTTTAGGATTTTTTTATGCGCTCGATCGAAACCTCGAGGATGTCAACTACTTCTATAACAAGAAATACACCGACTTTGCGCGCCGCATGAAGATTCTGGAAGAGCGATACGGTCCGTCACTGGATGGCCGCCAGCGCCTGGATTCCGAGGAAGTTGAGGATCTTTTGGCGGCTCTGCTCGAGCTACGTGGTCAATGGCGCAAACTCCAGTGGTACGGAGAAGTCAATCGGCGGGGCTTCATCAAGATCACCAAGAAGCTGGACAAGAAAGTCGGCGTTCAGACACAGCAGAAGTACCTAGAGACGAAAGTCGACCCACTGCTCTTCGCGTCGAATCCGGATATAACCAATGCTCTGAAAACCATCAACGACCGCTTGTCGATTCTTGGGGAACAGAAGATCAACGATGATGCCAGCTCTACACACTCGTCCC